CCCTAGAGACTATCATCCCCATATAGTTTTAGTCTAGACTCATCCCATATGTACAACAGTTGTTATACATAATGAGTTATGTTACCGGAAAGCTTTCAGATCACTGGTCTAGAAGATTTCGTTAATGGTATAAAAGGACGATGAGTCTGCATAGACTAGACTAGACTGAACTACACGCGGTAATGAAATTAAAATCAGAGATGTTAAATCATGTATTAACATTACGTATACATTACTGTAGCGGGATATACAATTAATGGGCAAGTTAGAATACGTAAAATGACAAACAGACAAATGTTACTTTTGACTCATTTCGTCTTCAAGACCGTTTAACCAATTATTTGGGGTCGGCCTTCCTTGCCCTGTGTTTCCATAAAGGGCTTTTCCATACTTCTGACTCATTTGATACGTATAATTATTATATTAATATATATAATCCTATACTATTTGTATCTCATAGGGTCGCCGGCTTGTCTGTTGATCCGTCATAAATTAAATGTCATCTCTCAGTACACCTTTCGAGCGATACTATAATCTATATATACTGTCAATTTCACATGTTCCCATGCTTATATTTATAGAGAACTATTCAGTATTGACGCCTTTTTTTATATAATCAATATTGAAAATAACACTATTTGTAAGTTAGTCTGAGTGCTATCATTAATATCATTAAACACGATGACGATAGGTACATAATCCCTACTAATATTATAAATGCGAAAGTAACTCTGTCTGTCTGTCTGTTACGCTTTCACGCCTAAACCACTGAACTGATTTTAATGAAATTTGGTACAGAGATAGAGTTGACCTTGAGAGAGAACATAGGATAGTTTTTAACCCAGACTTTTGACAAGTTCTCTTGGAAACGGGATATAACCGAACTCGACGCGAGCGAAGCTGAGGGCGAAAAACTACTATATAATAAAAATGACCGTGTTCAAACTATCTATTCGTCACAAAACATAGTGTTGGTAGTGAGGACGTAAATAGGACATTCTTCATATCGATGGGCGACCGGTTCTACGAGACGGCTCGTGGTTGATGTGTACAGACAGACATACAACAGGACACAACCATTAATACGAACATGTATATAATAAGCTGATGATAAACGGCACTTGTAACAACTAGATATATAATATATAACAATGTTTTCGTAAATACCTCAAAATACAAACACGGAACTATAGACGCTAACTAAAATAATGGTTTCTTAAAACTTTAATTTATAATTTTTTTGCTATTTTTAAGAGAATTACACTATTATAAGAAGTAGTTTAGTAATGATGCACGAACAACAGGGCTTTGGAGTTCAACAGTAATTATACTACAACTATTTTTACTAATTATAGATTAATATTTCAATATGCGTGAAACAAGAGTTAAGGTAAGCGTATAAATACTCATCAGTTATTAATTTATTGTAAATTAATTCTTTATAATATTTGTTGTCGGTACCTACTCTCTCCGCGAGCGAGACGCGTCTCTTTAAATAGTAACCTGGTCCGTTCATTCAACGTTTAATGTTGTATGTATTGATGCATTACTGAAACTATTACCTCGCAATACATGTTACGACATTTATACAAATATTATATTTATTACCATTATAGATATTACAAGAAAAATAGTCCGTAAATGTTCTAGATCAGGTTTTTCTATTCCAACTAATCTATTCACATGATCATCTAATCTACATATATATACATATAAAAATGAATACCTGTTCGTTAGTCTCGCTAAAACTCGAGAACGGCTGAACGGATTTATCTTATCTTAGTCTTGTCTTGAAATGTTCGTGGAGGTTCAGGGAAGGTTTAAAAGGTGAAAAAAAAACATTCCCATACAAACGATTTTTTTAAATTAGATTTGACAACTAACTAATATGTAAATCATTCTGTTCGATTGAAAAACCTGATTATTTAATGCCTATAAGACGGAATAGAGTTCGCCCGGTCAGCTATACATATATTACTTATGACGAAATTAACGCGGACGAAGTCGCGGACAAAAACTAGTACTAGCTATAGATATATCTAGGTATCTATAGATTTTAGTCAGTGAGTGCGGAAGTTCCACAATAGTTTGTTAGTCGCGGCCGACACACAAACAACATTATTTAAGTTCGTAACGAAACAAATATTTAACCTTGTCACTGTTGCATTACTAATTTGACATAGAAAACATATCTTAGAGGTGATAAATATACCTAATATATAAAATTAGCATGTCACAATGTTTGTTACCGTACTCCTCTGAAACGGTTTTACCAATTTTTACCAAATTTTATTCACGTATTTTATAGGTCTGAGAATTGCCTACTATTTATTTTTCATACGTCTAAGTGATAATGGTTGTTCACGCTTTTTTTTTCGTACGTAATTCTTTTTTTCTTAGTATGGCATTAAAAAATACATACAACTCTATTTTTTTAAGCAAAACACCGTCTGCCGGGTCAGATAGTACGTATATAAACTCTGTATAAATTTCAAGTTCGTAGATCAGACTATTCTCGTTCGCCTTATAATAAAAACGTCGATCAATAAACAAACTACACTCCAAGTTTTCACAACACTCATTATTCTTACAGAGCTAGGGTGAACTCCCTCCTCGCTTGTATCCGGACCACGTACATAACTTTATAGCAATTTTGATGACATTAAAAGAAATACTTTAATGACTCGTTTGAATTTACAACCGCGTCATTATAAATAACAATTCAGACGATATTAGAGTATAACACACGAGCTATTAATATTATTATATTGTAAATAATATCGATTATAAAAAATAAATGAACATCGCCGGGGCGACTTCGTTGTATGGATAAAATATATAACGAGTGACGCCGCTGACTCCGCGGAACGAACACCAAACGTGTGAACCAGTAGATTCCTGATACACACAAGCTATGGAATGGTATTGCTATCCTAACATCGGGTCAATCATGTAGTCTTTGGTATAGGTTAAAACTTTAATATGTAATCTTTATTATAATATACGTATAAGTAAGTCTCGTAGTTTTGCCCTATATAATTAATATGTTTCTATTAGAAAACGAAGTACTAATAGCAACTGACCACTAGCCGACCATTAAAAAATTCAACAAACTTCACCCAGGTCCTTGACCTACATACTTCGTGTCTGTCAGGTAGTGTTATCAGTGTGACCTTGACCTCACCGTCCGTTATCAGTCGTCACACATATCTCCACCAAGCAGTCAGGTGGTGTTATAATCGTATCCATAAACAATGACCGAGCGTGATATCGTTAAAACAACATTATTTTTAACTCTGTTTTCAACGTGATAATGCTATGTAACTGATTCATCCATACTAATATTATAAATGCGAAAGTAACTCTGTCTGTCTGTTACGCTTTCACGCCTAAACCACTGAACTGATTTTAATGAAATTTGGTACAGAGATAGAGTTGACCTTGAGTAAGAACATAGGATAGTTTTTATCCCAGACTTTTGAAAGGTTCTCTTGGAAACGCGATATAACCGGACTCCACGCGGGCGAAGCTGCGGGCGGAGAGCTAGTGTCTTCATATATTATACATGTATTTTTGTTTATTGTTTTTAACAGCCCATTGGTATTAATTTTTCTTTGATCTTTTTCTTAATGGTTTGTAACGTACACAAATTGTAAGCCACAAATCCTTCTGTAATTGTCAGTGAAGCTTTTGTTTTTCGTATCTTTTATATATATAGATTATGTTTGGGTGTGTTTGTGTATGTGTATGTCGCTATCAGTGGGATGTCAGTATCTCATCCTGTTGATACGCGCCTGTCTGTCTGTTGGTGGACATTTCTCCTAAACTGTTACACATATCACTGGATGCTGTCCAAGGTCATTTGGACATCCAAATATAATATAAACATCATTATTGAACTGCAGATATTTGTAATGAGTTAAATATTAATTATTTTCAACAACTATTTTACTTTGAAAAATTATGAATTGTAATATTTTATATATAAAGAACATCGGAAGTTTCTAAAACTGAAAAGTTTTTATATTTTATGTTAACGAATTTCAAGAAGCTTTAACTTCATCCGCGTGTATTGATAACGAAATCTTTACTTCCTAGACTTCAGTTATTTCGATTTTCTCTTCTATATCGAGACACTAAAGGACGGTAATAGTATCGATTAGTCAGATCTCTATAAACGAATAAACATAACAATATATATACAATGACTAAACAATTATTTCAGTTTCAGGAGATACGTCTGTATAGTTACAATGCAAACATACAACCCAAGTTAAGGAACTATCTTGTCACATACAAAACATACATTCAACGTTAATGAATGGGAACAAACAATGAGCTTTCAAATGTGTTGAGCGGAACCGGAGACAAAGCTAGTGATACCATCCGACTCCGACCTTGAGAGACAAGGACGGCCTGATGATGTAATGTAAGATAGAAAGAGATAGAAGAAGACAAAAGAAAGAAAAAGAGGGAAATATTTGTGAGATTTTATCAAATAATTGTTTTAATAACTGTGATACAAAATGTATGTGTATCATATATACTACATCATGGTAACCCTTACATACCTCCTACATTCATTAACAACAATAAAATACAATAAGTGACTTAGAAAAAGAATTACTACAACCTCAGCCGTATGTACTAAGTTATGCACATAAGACGCGCGCGAGGAAAAATAATCCTATTAGTTAAATGGATAGACCCCACGACACTGACGAACTATTAATATATGTGGAACAATATAATAATAAAAAAAAACAATGATAATATTGTAATAATGTGTACTATCAACGCTCGATACCGGCGACACTTCAACTGTAGAAGAAAAACAAATATCGTAACGATCATCTGAATAAATACTAATTATTATTTAATTTTAAATAACTTTTAAAATCTTCTATATATATTTATATGTGTGTCATAATATGAACACAACCTGAAACTTTCACTCACTATATGAACTCAACACTCATCACTCATATAGTTCATCTCACTCACAACGCGTCCGTACTGCGCGCCGTTTCCAGCGATACTCCATCAGTCTGAAACTTCAGTCGACTTTCACGACCACCTAGCACCCTCATAACACCCTCACAACACCCTCCTAGCACCCTCCTACCACCCTTTCCATACAATCTGTTATCATCGAACCCGGTCCTATATTCCGTGTGACCGTCGGCTTCACATTCCTACAACACTATTGGACAACGCGTCATCTACGGACGGAACAATTAATGTTGGAGTTAAAAATAACACTACACCAGAACTACCGAAATAACATCTGACACACACACACATACATACATACAGCGTGTACAGAAACACAATATACACATATAAGGATGGAAATAATGTAGTTAATTACTAAAAAAAATGTGAAGAAAACATCCTGTATACACAATTAGTCATAAAAAAATCATTAGTCATTTATATGCATTTGTTGAATACTTTACATTTTAATATAAAGAATGCATTTAACAACATACGTCAAGCGATAATAACCTTTATTGATATCTAATTGTGATATGATTATTATTTGCGTTATTTTTAACGTCGTGTTGTATGGAAGTATAAAGGAAGTTAGCGCCGATATAGGTTTATCAAACCATCTAATTAAGACCCGTAATACCGTATCACAATCCTAATAGAATAGGTCATGTTATGTTGGTTGATGTACACGACCACATCTCAAACTGTCCATCGGTTTATTTTGGCAATGTATATTGAAGTGTATTTTCCGTAGTTTTGGCTCAAAATATTACTTCTAGTAGAATTATTATTAGCTATTGGAATGTAAATATTGAATATGACTCTACGTGGATTTTAAAACACTTCCTGAATATTATAAATTAACTTTATTATTTATCAAATTAATTCAAAGTTAAGCTGAATACTAAAATTTTATTTTAATATATAAGGCATATTGAAACAGGATATTTCAATAGTTTTGTAAAATTTTTTTATTCTAAATTTTTATACAAAATTTTTAAGTCTTTTGTTTATATTTTTATTAAATTTATATCATACATCTAACATATATGATTTATACGCCTTTCAATTATTAATAAACTGCTGTAAATTCCTCTTCATGTAATAGTTCATACATGATCAATCAGAAAGACACGTTTTTTTATGTCAGAACATTTTTGTCATGGTAAAAGCATTTCTCACAGATCTTTTAAACTCTTAAAGGAAGTAGAATGAGAGACGAGGAGAAAAGATCAGTAGATGTGGATCAAAACATTAGAAGATCTGATTAAAGGTTAAAGGAATGATGGAACAGATATATAATATAGACTTTGAAATATCCAAATAAACGTCCCGACCTGTCACTAGAAGAGAATCCATAGATAATTGAACAAATATTGGTATATTAATATGAGCAGAAGAACTAACATGATCACAAACACCCAAGTAGAATATACCAGAAGAAATACAACAACTATCGTAGTTAATGTTTTGTAGAATATTTAACTGATAGTAAGTGTAACTGAACTGAGAAGTATTGCTGCCGTGCGAAAGAGATACGGAATAAGTACAGAGAGTAAGAAGTTGTACAAAAAATAAAACTTGGACCATTGAGAAGCTTTTTATTATTCACTAATAGTATGGTAAAAAATGAATATGTAACTTGGTGTGTAGTTTTCTATTACATATTTTATGAACAAAATGTAGCTGTTTGTTATAAGAAAAATCATTAAGATCAAATATACAGGGTGACTGGTGAATTACTATCGATATTTGAGGACGTGATATTTGACGATCATATATGACGAAATAAAAATTAATACAGTAGGACCCCGATTATCCGGACCTCGGTTATCCGAATTCGCGATTATCCGGACTGCCAATCGCGACGAGTTTATTCTAACATTAACATGTCAGAACTTGCATAACGCCACGCCACTTATAACTAGGGCCCGGATAAATATGTATTAAAAAATCTAAAATATGTACATAAAATATGGACGAAAAAATCAAAAAATATGGAAAAAATATGGAGTATAAAATTAAATAATTTCATAATTAAACATTGTTTTACTATAAGAAAGGGTCACTCGTGACGTACATCGTTAAGAAACATTTAAAAAACGATGAAAAAAAGGAGTGAAATATTTATTTCAACATAAAATAACAGTTTTATTCAATTTCCATTACACCAGCCTTGTCAAATTGGTTGCAATACACAATGACGTGCTTCTTTAAATTATCAAAATGAAAACTGACCATTTGGTCGAAATATGGCCTTATATTTGCTGAATGATCTCTCCACTCACATGACGTGATGGATGCATACATGCTTAATTCAGCAATTGTCTAAGCCATGTCTACAGAACTCGAAACTTTCGCACAGAATTTTGTTACTTTTTTGGCGTTTTAAATCCTTTATTTTTATCCAAAACATTAGTGGCGGGAACGTAAATTTTATGTTTTTTTGTGAATATATGGATGATTGTGACATTTTCTTGTAAAATATGGACTTTGAAATGTGGTAAAATTTGGAAAATAAAAGTTGGTTTTTCACAGTCTAAATATGACAATCCATGTAAAAAACACTTTCTAGACGGAAAATAGCGTAAATTAAAAATATGTATTTACATATTAATCCGGGTCCTACTTATAACACTTATACGTACATTATGTACAATTTCTTAATAAACGTTGATTTTCGCTCATATGTATTTGTTGTTTTAAATAAACACCTAACATTACATATGTATGGTACAGACTACATATGTACATATGCAAAAAGCCCGTTTCTCTTCATATATTGGATTATCCGGACTTTCAATTATCCGGATGCCTACCGACAACAATTAGTCCGGATAATCGAGGTCCTACTGTATAACATAAATATTAATAAACTTCTAAGTAAAGTTAACCAAAAGTTATGTAATTAATTACGCATCGTGTGAACACCCTACAGATTAGGTATACACACACACACACACACACACACACACACACACACACACACACTCGCGCGCGGCGGCGTGTTGTTGTATCAGCACGCCGCCGCACGCGTCCACACTTGGAACGTGTCAACACTTTATTTATTTGGTCAAAAATTAAGTACCTATTTTTTTTTTTACATAATTCGAATGAGAATCATGTACCGAGTATGCTCCTCAAATATTGATAGTAATTCACCAGTCACCCTGTATAATGTTTTAGTTCTTAAACTATATTCTCCATTTTCGTTACTTTAATTATAAGAACAGTTTTTTCATAATAAACATAACTTCACCTTGTTGTATGAAACATATAAGGATATGTTAACATTTATGTACATATAGACAGATCACAGATAAGTCAGTGGTGGCTCAGTGGTTAAAGGGTCCGCCTCTCGGCCTCTCGTCGCCGAGGGCACGGGTTCGATCCTGGCCCGGGCAAGTACCAATGTGATTTTTCCGAATCATATGTACTTTCTAAGAGTATTTAGATATCACTGATTAATGTTGATTCCCAAAAGAGGGTTGATGCCAGGCAGGCGGCCGGTCGTAAAAACAAATAGCCAAAAACTATTCACAACATGTAAGGCAGACCCTGGCTATAAGCTGGGAAATTGCCAGGTAGAAGAAGAAGACAGATCACAGATATAGGCAGACCCTGGCTAAAGCTGGGTAATTGCCAGGAAGAAGAAGACAGATCACGACAACTACACTATGAAATATCACATATAATTCTACATTTCACATCTAAAGACTGAGTGTCTCATTATAACACACTTAATACTAAATAATGTTGTGTTTTAGAAATAAAATATTATGTTAAAACATTAAAGAAATCGACAGTATGAGCTCCTTAATAATATTGTTAGAGAAGCGAAAATGTGGGAAAATAATTACGAATGGAGAAGTGGGTAATGGATAAAAGGAATTAAGAATGGTGAAGGAGATGGACAACGAGGAAAAATGAAGAGGATTGTAGGACCCTCTGTTCCTCTAAGTATGTATAACTAGTCACTGTCTCACTACTACCCCGCCTAGAGTGACGCACGTCCCCGTTCTGCTCCGCGCTAGTCGTGAGACTGCCGAGCGAATGCCGCCCCCTCTAGTGGGGTACGAGAGACAGTGTGTTATATATATTATAGATACATACACTACAAGGGTGGTTGTATAAGTGTAGTGTTCTGTGTTATTGTAATATTAATATGTTACCTTGTGCGTGTGTCGTGTTGAGCGAGCCGTCCCACGGAGGGTCGTCCTCCATCTTACGGAAACTACGCTCCACTGAAACAAACGAACACACATGTAACATACAGACTTATACTTACAACGACAAGAAGTCAAGATAGATGTACACTACCATATGTATGGTACATAGAAAATAGAATGTATTAGAATATGTGAACAACTATCGAAGATACAGTAGGTTTAAGTCTACTATGCATCGAAGCCAGGAATGTTTTTGACAAAAAATAACATAAATACAAGTGTTGTCTTTCGGTTTCACCTGTTACCAAATCATTGTTGTTATGTTTCTCATTCAAGTCTATAAAACTATATAATATGTATCATGTGACGTGTTCAGCATGTGTGTGTGTATGTGTGTGTAATTGTGTATGTATATGTGTGTGTGTACTCACTGTTCAGAAAGTGCGCGGTGCCCGATGACTTCCTCGACTTCTTCTCGCTCGAGTCCTGACCTGGACACACACACATTATTCAACTAACATATAATAAGTCAAGTCATTACATATTATATTTGTTTGTTTGTGTGTTCTTGTTTTGTCTAAACCTATTTCGTTTTGTTTCCTTTAGCTCAGTGATCTAGTTTGATTTATGATTTAACTGTTATCTACCGACTTATTATTGGAATACTTACTAAAAGATAGAATTTGAGACCCGAAACAATGATAATTAATTGATATGAAATAATGATATTTAACAAAAACAACCCATTTCTTTACATAATCTCATAACAAGACAATATGTTTTGTTCAGCCCACCTCTTTGTAAATTAATAATTCATTAAAAAAAATGTTTCCATAAAATATTTTGCTCTGAAGATAAACATCGTTTTTGAATGTAGAAAAAAAGTTAAGTCACTAAAAGCACGACTTTGCCAGAGAATTTAACCATTATGACAGCGATGTGATGTGTCCTGGTGAAATAACACCTCGAGTAATATTTGGTCATATCTTTAGTTTGAGTCTCGTCGGAAACCTTTTTCAGTCAGTTCACAAACATTGTTTAAACACTGCTACTTGAACTCACTATGATCACTGTTCCAATCTGCCAGAAAGACATCTTAGACTTCTTTGTCAGTCCTGCGGTAATTTGTGAAGGAACATGTCTTTTCTTGTTACCATTCTGATAAATACCCAATGAATGTATCTCGTTCTAATAATCTTGGCCTATTGACACGACTATTTGAATATGGTCTACAAATATTCAACTATTATTACTCTAGAGTATGTATGTATGTATGTATGTATGTATGTATGTATGTACGTATGTATGTATGTATGTACGTACCGGGCAGCGGGTGTATCCTCTCCATGAACCTGGAGATCCTGTTGTTGGAGTGTTCCCCGTCCAGACAGCAGCCCTCCTCCACCGAGCGGGCGCACGAGCGGTGCACGCGCAGCTTACAGTCTGACACACACACACACACATATGAAATAATGATTCACCGATACAAAGAGACACGATAACTTGGTTGGGAAATTATAAACGTGTTGTTTGGACGATTGACAAATTTATTACAGTATATTTTTTATTAATGCAAGTTGTAGCCCAAAATTTCTCTATTGTAACTATTGTGTATTTATAATATTAGAAGACCCGGCAAACTTCGTATCGCCCTATAATCAAGAAATATCTGTTACGTTTTATTTTATTTTTATTTTTGGATTTTACCTTTAAGCCAAAAATCTCCGTGTTTTGAAGTGCGATAGAATGATTGACATATTAGTTAGTTGTCAAATCTAATGACAAAAAAAAAGTTTGTATGGGAAATAGAAAAAGATTGTTTTTTCGGGTTCACCCGGAAATTATTAAATTTTTTCATCTTTTAAACCTTCCCTGAACCTCCACGAACATTTCAAGACTAGGATAAGATAAATCCGTTCAGCCGTTCTCGAGTTTTAGTGAGACTAACGAACAGCAGTTCATTTTTATGTATATGTATGTATGTATACGGACCAGTACACACGTATGCCTGCGGCGCCAGGCCCCATATGACCAGGTCGCAGTGGTGACAGTGAGCCACGGACGTGAGGGCCTGCAGCTGGAGGTGGTGCCCGCGGACCACGAACTGGGACACACACACAGATAGAGATACAGAGACTTAGATAATGTAATGTGAATAGTGTGGTGATGTTCTAAGAGGTGGTGTAGTTATATGTCGTTGTGTATCATTGTGTATTGTTGTGTGTCACTGTGTCGTTGTGTGTCACTCTGTGTCGCTGTGTGTCACTGTATGTCACTTTGTGTCGTAGTATGTCACTTTGTATTGTAGTATGTCGTTGTGTATTGTTTTATGCTGTTGTGTGTCACTGTGTGTCGTTGTGTGACACTGTTAGTCACTCTGTGTCGTCGTGTGTCACTCACCGGCTGCGGGTGTTGTTTCGCGATCTGTTTCAGTTTCTGTCTGTAAGGCTTCTCCCGCTGTAGGAAGGAGGCTCGCGCGCCGCCCACCGCCGCCAACACGGACGCCGGTCTACACGACACACATTACAAACATGTTACTAGAAGATTTTTTAACCATAAATATGAACATTTGTCCTTTGTTTCTGCTTACATTTATATAAAGTCAGTATCAAACATCAATTTCACGAGCTGTTACTTACATATAAAATACTATACGAACGTGTTCATTGCTAGCGTAACGTCACACTACAGACACGTTTATTACGGCTCATTAACATACAGCTATTGACTTAAATGTTTTAACAAGGTACAGACAGTGAACTACTCGTCATACACAATATAACGTACATATCTAAACTATATTAAATATAATACGAAACACGTCAATAATACTGAATAACATTTTAATTTTTCTTAAACTAAGACCTAATATACGCCGCGCCGTCACAGATCAAGTCTACCTCTATCACGTGTCCTACTCTGTACATCTTAATTCTGTACGTGTCCTACTCTGTACAATGAACATCTTACTTCTGTACGTGTTCTACTCTGTACGTCTAACTTCTATCTCATATCTTACTATGTATATGTTGCCTCTGTCTCGTATCCTACTCTGTACGTCTAACTTCTATCTCATATCCTACTATGTACATGTTACCTCTGTCTCGTATCCTACTCTTTACGCCCAACTTCTAACTAATATCCTACTATATATATGTAACCTCTGTCTCGTATCCTACTCTGTACATCTTACTTGTTCCTACTCCTGTGCCACCATCTCCTCCGTGTGTCCAGATCCTTCCCAGCCACAGTGTTGGCGAGCTTCTTATCGTACATCATACACTTCCCTACTCGCGTACATCACTACTGTCATTATGATTATAGATCAACGTCATTATATTCACTTCATATATATGTATTATTAATTACAATAACTACAACACTTCTGACAATTATTAAACTATTTTAATATAACTGTTCGTAGTGTCGTCGACCTATTCACATTAATATCGGTCTACCCTCAACTGTCGTTCTTTATACATATATAATTTAATGACACTTCTTGACAAAACAAATGATGACATTTCATTTTTGCAGATGTTATTGTAGTAATACAAAAATATTTTAAATTATAAATATAGGTCTTTTGTCTTTTATGATAACTAAACACATACGATTTTTACGAGTATACGTGTAATTGAAATGAAACACAAACAAATGTAATTATATCGTGTAGTTATACCAAAAAAAAACATTTTATTCTTTAAATTAAAATTATTTCAATAAAAAGTGAATAATTTCGTTGCTACAATAATTAAATCATGTTCCCCGTTATAACTCAACGAAAGGATTTATTGGTGTATGTATGAGTGGATTTTTCTTATTGTTTTATTATTATTAATTACTTTATTTATACAATTTTAAATTCTGAATAACATTTAGATTGTAATTTATCCCAAAATTCATTGCAGTTCCCGAGAAAACACAATAACTGTGACACAAACACACACACAATATATTATACAGGGTGACTGGTGAGTTACTATCAATATTTAAGGAGCATACTCGGTACATGATTCTCATTCGAATTATGTAAAAAAAATAGGTACTTAATTTTTGACCAAATTTCCGTATAAATAAATAAAGTTTGGACACGTACTCAGCCTTGCCGGCGCCAGTGTGTCGCTACTCCCCAACCCCCGCCCCGTGGCTAGCGGGCCATTAGTCGGCTATTAGTCGCGCGAGCGCCGCCGTAAGGTCCGTACGTTCGTCTTCCCGCGCGCGCGCCTAGCGATCGATCTTACGCGTATACCTAATAATAATCTGTCGTGTGTGCGTGTGACCCGTTATTACTTATTAGTAATTAAATATGGCTTTTCAATACACAAATGCAGAATACTTGGACATGGTTTATGCGTATGCGCGTGCAAATGAAAGCTTGCGGGGCGCAATCAATTTGTACCGGGAGATGTTCCCCAATCGTCGAGTACCTACGGCCAGCGTCATCTTAAACGCTAATCAAAGATTACGAGACTTCGGACAGTTCCGTGTTCCAACACATGCCCAAGGAAACGTCTTGTGTATGCTACAATGTATGTCAACAGAGAGGAGTTGAAATTAAAAATCAATAGTGCTTTCGAAACTATTAAAAGTGACCCATTCGTATTAAATCGTGTGAAAGACAATATGTGTAAACGTGCCGAACTGTGTATCACACGAGAAGGAGCTCGCTTTGAACATTTGTTAAGGTTAGTGTAGTTATGTAGGTAAATAGGTAGTTTAATGATTGACAATTGTTGTAAATAAGAATGATTCCATTTTTAAATACGCCGGAAATACCAAGATAGGTAAACAGTTCATATTATTTTTCGTGTCAAGGTCACACCATTTACCTAGTCAATAAATTGGTTGCTTAAACGAAAGAAATATCTTGGTATTTTTGCCTGTCCTAAGCCAGGATTAAAGTATGAAGGGAATCGGATCATTTTTGTTTATCTAAGGTCTAACACGCGGCGGCGCGCGGCGTTTAGATGTAGGTAAACTACCGCGCGATAACTACATATACCTACGTACATAACTGTTTTGTGTCGATAACGCAGCTAGGGTATCCACGCGATCCGTAATTAATTACATAACTTTTGGTTAACTTTACTTAGAAGTTTATTAATATTTATGTTATATTAATTTTTATTTTGTCATATATGATCGTCAACTACCACGTCCTTAAATATTGATAGTAACTCACCAGTCACCCTGTATATAAGACACATGTAATTTTCAATATACATATTACGTATCATCACTGAACAACATTAACGACTGAACTGTACTCGTGTCAACATGAAACACACTTGTTGTTATTTTAAAGGCCGGTAGTAATGTATTATTCAACTGTATTATTCAATACTGAAGTAACAAGTCACTCAATAAATGCTAAATGTTGATAATAATTCGTATATATTCAATTAACATCCGTGTAGTTATCGACACACATTGAAAAAACTCGCGACTGATGATACATATTGTTACAGACTATGTTTATATCCCGACTCCGTCTGTGTGGACTTGACAATTGGATTTAGGGAAAATGAGTGTTTGTTTGAAATGTAAAGTTGAATTCGGGTTTAGCCTTTTTTAACTTTTATCGCGATCTCGTTACAAAACAATAAGAAAAACATGAAAAACAGTTCTCATTCATAGATCCACCAAAACACGTTCGCCTATACTCTCCTACCAATAATATTGATTGTATTTTAACCTTACATTTATTATATATCCAGACAACACACAATTATCTATTTACTAGTCTTTGCCCGCGACTTCGTCCGCGTTGATTTCGGAATTAGTATAGTATACCCAACAACTACAAGACAACAGAAATGTTATAAAAATTAAGAATTACGTTAACATGAATAGTTTGGCAGTATTAAAAAAATTAACTACAGAAAGAAACTGTTGTCTATAGATATTGTCTATCATAACTCTTTTTTTTCTAAAGAAAGGAATGCTTGTTGGATGTCGATCGTGCCTACATAGACCGGTAAAAGGTACATAGCGATAATGTTGTTTTGGCTAGGAGTTGAGTTCTAGAGAAAGTAACTATGGTTTTTCCCTTATATGAGGAAAAGTATAACATTTTCCGGGATGTAAAGTAGCCTATGTGTTATTCCTGGACGTCAGCTTCCTGTATACAAAATTTTATCAAAATCGGTTCCGCCGTTTGAGCGTGAAGCAGTAACAAAAATACACACACACTCACAAACTTTCGCAATTATAATATTAGTAGGATAAGTTGAAGTTGAGTAAATAGAATGATTGACATATTAGTTAGTTGTCAAATCTAATGTCAAAAAAACGTTTGTATGGGAAATAGAAAAGGGCTGCTTTTAGGGTTTTCCCGGCAATTATTCCAATTTTTCTCACCTTTTAAACCTTTCCTGGACTTCCACTAGTATTTTAAGACTAAAATTAGCCAAATCGGTTTAGCCGTTCTCGAGTTTTAGCGAGACTAAGGAACAGCAATCCATTTTTATATATATAGAAGAAGAAGATAGAAGATTAATAAATATATTATTTTAAACGTCATAAAACAACTGAAACATACCAACGTTGCACATCATCATATGCAATCAATTTCATTAAATACACAGTTAGTAATAATTTCTCGTATAAGCTAATTAAAACTTATTCACTTGCACATAGAAAGACAATAATAAAATGGCGAAAAATTATTAGAACAGTATACCAACAAATTAAATAGATCCATTTCATTTGGAAGTTTCTATGACGTTTTAAATGAGTAGGGTTAAAGAAGCAGTGCTTCTCCAATACTAACACATGCATAGTTTACGCACACACACATACAAAAATTTCCTTCATACAACACGAGATTTGTAGATCGTCCTTGAGATTTTTTGTATGAAAAATAAGCACAAAGTGTTTGTGCATACCGCCGCTTTGGCTGCATAGCGACGCTAGGAAATAGCAGTGACCGATCCAAATTGTTTAATTTTTACATTGATAGATAATAGCACTTTTGATAATTCGTTAAGTTGTTATATGGGTAAGGTCAACCGTGCTGATTTGAATGTATGGTGTGCACACTATTAAATATAATCGTAGTTGTATTCAGCCATATACAACACAATCAATGGAAACAATACCTATGTATATGGAGCAAACCAAGTAATATATATAACTAGAAGACCTGGCGAACTTCGTATCGCCCTATAATCAAGAAATGTCTGTTACGTTTTTTTATTCATATTTTTGGAGTTTACCTATTAAAGCCATAAATCTATGTGTTTTGAAGTGCGACAGAATGATTGACATATTAGTTAGTTGTTAAATCTAATGTCAAAAAAAGAACGTCTGTATCAACAACTACTAATACATTAAAAATTAATTAAAAAAACATTGTCAAGCGGACAAAATAATGAATCTAAACCATTCCCAGATCCCCTTGAACACATACAAAAAATTTCATGCAAATTAGTCCAGTCGTTTGAGAGAAGTTCAGTGACATACACACTCACAGAAGAATTATATATATAAAGATAGGGAGCAATCCAAGTAATATATGTATATAGTATGTATTATGTTATGTTCCTTCCCTGTCTATATATACTAAATATATATATAAGTCCCTCACCTGCACTGTAGACAGAGCGCGGCGGTGACCAGCGCGGCCAGCAGCGCGCCGTGCGCCTCGCCCGCGCCCGGCGACACGCTGGACGACATGGCGCGGAGACGACCACACATTATACGCTCCACCACCGCCAGCTCCTAATAATACATATCGATATATATAAGAACTAGCGAGCCAACGAGACGAGATAAACATTGTAAACAATATATATAGATATAATGTGGACCCCCGGTAGTCCGACAAACATTTTGCAGGACAGTGTCGAACTATCGAATTCGTCGGATTATAGAGTACTGCCTAACACCCCCTATTATAGTCCGGATTTTTTTACAAAAGAGTACCTTGTAATTCAACAAATTACAGATTCAATAATGAGATTATTTACTGTACTTATATGTACTCTGAAGTACAAATTCAAAATCCAACTAAGCAATCAGAATCAAAACAATACAATACGGGTCGAGCACAATAGTGATGGTGTGTACAAATATGTATTCAATAAAAAATATTAGATCATGTTTGATTACAGGGGGTGCCGGATTAGACAGGGGCCGGAAAACCGCGGGTCCAATGTATAATATAACAACAAGCTATCCAACGAGACGAGATAAACTATGTAAACAAGTCTCCAATGATTAAATACAAGTAGTGCCCTGTTTTTTTAAAAAGCTGGTTATCTGACTATCATTCTAACTCATTATACGTGGTGAGTTCTCATATACATTGATATACAGGGTGACTGGTGAGTTACTATCAATATTTAAGGAGCATACTCGGTACATGATTCTCATTCGAATTATGTAAAAAAAATAGGTACTTAATTTTTGACCAAATTTCCGTATAAATAAATAAAGTTTGGATACGTACTCATCCTTGCCGGCGCCAGTGTGTCGCTACTCCCCAACCCCCGCCCCGTGGCTAGCGGGCCATTAGTCGGCTATTAGTCGCGCGAGGTCCGCCGTAAGGTCCGTACGTTCGTCTTCCCGCGCGCGCGCCTAGCGATCGATCTTACGCGTATACCTAATAATAATCTGTCGTGTGTGCGTGTGACCCGTTATTACTTATTAGTAATTAAATATGGCTTTTCAATACACAAATGCAGAATACTTGGACATGGTTCATGCGTATGCGCGTGCAAATGAAAGCTTGCCGGGCGCAATCAATTTGTACCGGGAGATGTTCCCCAATCGTCGAGTACCTACGGCCAGCGTCATCTTAAACGCTAATCAAAGATTACGAGACTTCGGACAGTTCCGTGTTCCAACACATGCCCAAGGAAACGTCTTGTGTATGCTACAGACAGAGTATGTAAACAGAGAGGAGTTGAAATTAAAAATCAATAGTGATTACAAAACTATTAAAAGTGACCCATTCGTATTAAATCGTGTGAAAGACAATATGTGTAAACGTGCCGAACTGTGTATCACACGAGAAGGAGATCGCTTTGAACATTTGTTAAGGTTAGTGTAGTTATGTAGGTAAATAGGTAGTTTAATGATTGACAATTGTTGTAAATAAGTATGATTCCATTTTTAAATACGCCGGAAATACCAAGATAGGTAAACAGTTCATATTATTTTTTGTGTCAAGGTCACACCATTTACCTAGTCAATAAATTGGTTGCTTAAACGAAAGAAATATCTTGGTATTTTTGCCTGTCCTAAGCCAGGATTAAAGTATGAAGGGAATCGGATCATTTTTGTTTATCTAAGGTCTAACACGCGGCGGCGCGCGGCGTTTGGATGTAGGTAAACTACCGCGCGATAACTACATATACCTACGTACATAACTGTTTTGTGTCGATAACGCAGCTAGGGTATCCACGCGATCCGTAATTAATTACATAACTTTTGGTTAACTTTACTTAGAAGTTTATTAATATTTATGTTATATTAATTTTTATTTTGTCATATATGATCGTCAACTACCACGTCCTTAAATATTGATAGTAACTCACCAGTCACCCTGTATATATATATATATATATATATATATATATATATATATATATATATATATATATATATATATATATAAGACCAAGCGATCCAACGAGACGAGATAAACAATATAAACACGTCTCCAATGATTAAATACAAGTAGTATCTTTATTTTAACAAACTGGTTATCTGACCATCATTCTAATTATTTATACGTGGTGAGTTCTCATATACAAGGGGTCCATCGAGACGTGATAAACAATGTAAGCACCTGCTGCTTGTCGTGGTCGCAGGCGTCCAGCACGCGGTCGTCGGGCCCGTACAGCGTGGCGAGCCCCACCTGCCTCTTGACCTGGAACTCGCTCAGCTGGCGCGCCAGCTGCTCCTTGGCCTGCCGCCGCGCCTTGCGGAACACGCTCCTCAGCTGCTCCTCCTTGTCGAACTCTGACAACATACACACTAGAGACTAGCTTTATATATCTTAATTATGCAGTACAATACAAGATATATATTATATAGTTCAAACTTAAAACTCCATATAAATCAAATTATTTTGCTGACGTAAAATATCACAAATCAATTCATCATTACTCCCATCCTAAGTAATAGATTACAGGTCTCATTAGTTTTGGTAAAAAAAAATATATGAGACGAAACCTCTCATCATTCAATATATTAATATGCGTGTGTCGGGTCCATCGTTGTAGCGAGAGGAGCTTCAACAGTGACTGGGACTTGCGACCCAGGTGTAGGTTTAAGGGTCCCTATATAAGGCGCGTTAAATGCTCACCTCCACTGTCCAAGCTCCTCTCTCTACCTAACCAAATTTGAACAGAACCTACTAGGATTGCCTTCGACGTACGTTCCAAGAATGAATTAATGTTAGTTCTGGACAGGTTGTATATCTTAATTATATAATACAATACAAGATATAGTTAAAACGTTACACGCCATATAAATCAAATTATTTTATTGACTTAAAATATCATGGATCAATTTATCATTACTCCCATCCTAAATAATTAATTACAGTTCTCATTACTTTTGGTAATCCTACTAATATTATAATTGCGAAAGTTTGTGAGTGTGTGTGTATGTTTGTTACTTCTTCACGCTCAAACGGCTGAACCGATTTTGATAAAATTTCGTATACAGGAAGCTGACGTCCAGGAATAACACATAGGTTTTTTTACATCCCAGAAATCTCGGAAATCCGAGGGTAGCACCGCGGAACGCAGCTAGTATATACATATATGTATAATATGAAAAATATTGTTATACAAGTACAAGTTGAGGGAAACAACTTTATCAAAGAGTTGAGTAAATTTAGTAAAAGGATTAAGAAAAATCATTGAAGATACAGTGACCCATCTAAAACATAATTCAAATTCTAATTAATATACCAAGTGATATAATATAATGTATTTGTAAGGGAACTATATTGACTGAAATTAAAATGTGATACAAAATAGACATAAAGCAATAAATTTCCATAACCAAGTCTATATTTAGCTATACAAGAAGTGTGAATCATTACTGGTTTTGTTATGATAAGTCAACACAATCACAAAAAACATTAAAGTTTATGACAAATGTTAAATATATATTTTTGAAAAGCCTTTCATAAATTCCATCATTATTATTTTATTTCATATTTATTTCCTAAACCCTCTTTACTTTTTCTTATGTTTTAACAGCTTCTTCAGCAAACAATTTATTTCTATGTTTATATATGGTAACTCTCATACCCGCCACTAGTTAAATTTGTATAGATAATAATAAATGATATAAATTTTTTATAGCCTTTTGAAATCTATAAATATTTTTGGTATAAATTTTACTTAGCATACTTTTGTTATAGCATGGGAAGCTCTTGAGATATTTATAAACATATCTATGTTGTTAGTTTTTTATTGTAGTTCTGAACTTAGTTTTCTAATATCAATAACGACTTATTTTTATTTAAAGCATACATAAAGTCATACAGCATATAATAATTTCAATATATTATCTTTATTATATATTCGCGACTGACCGTTAACCAGCACGTGTTCTATCTCGTTGGCCATGTTCTCGTCCACGCCTGACAGCTGCAACACCTGCAACAATCACCAACACCTTAGTATGACGTCATCACACCAACACGTTAGTATGACGTCATCAATACGTCTACGAGTCTCGTAGAGGGTCTACGTACGGCGCCCGGCATGAGGAACGTGGAGTGTATCTCGTAGGCCCAGCGACGTAGAGCTGCTACGGGAGGGGGCGCGGAGCGGTACGCGTCTGTTAGAAGAAGCAGGAGAGCGGCGCTGGCACATCTGGGACATATACATACATTAGATATCATTTAAATTATTAATATTATAATTGCGAAAGTTTGTGTGCATGTTTGTTACTTCTTCACGCTCAAACGGCTGAACCGATTTTGATAAAATTTTATATACAGGAAGCTGAAGTCCAGGAATAACATATAGGCTACTTTACATCCCTTAAATCCGAGGTTAACACCACGGGACACAGCTAGTACATAATATAAGACATATAATAAAGATATTATTATTGATATTTGTATAGGAGTTCAATTATTAAGACTTGTTGTTTCCAATACTTAGCGGTTGTCATGATAATGATTCTATAGTCTGCACAGTTCCCAATAACTTATCAAATTTTAATCATCGATAAATACATCACAAGTAACAAATGTGATAAGCATTAGGGACACATTGGGTACCACTTGAGTTAAATTTAAAATGTACATTTCATTTTCAACCAGATGTAGGACCCGACCCTGTCACATACGAAATATCACTTCACACATTACAAGAACCTGTTCACTATGATTAATTTTACTATAGATAAATTTTTCATCGACTATTCACGATTAGAATTTTTTTTTTATCTGAAAAACTAGTTTCATTTCAAATATGATACAAATAATTCAGATTGCTTTTTGATATATTTTAATATATTGTTTGTCACAACATATGTACTCTTTATTTATTATATTTTAATTCAAGTTTACATTTACTTATCATTCCAACCATAAGAGATATGTACATATGACGTATGTGTATGTGTGTGTGTGTGTGTTTGTGTACAGACCTGCTCTCAGCCAGTAGCCAGTTAAGTAAGACAGCTGTCCGGGCGCGGGACTCCAACACGGACTGCAGGTTTGAGAACGGACCCGGAGTTGAAGACTCCTGGGAGAGAGAGAGAGATATATATATATATAAGATATGTGAGACATGATATGTAATATGACTAGGAGGAAAAGAGACAACAATAATAATAAATGACAGAACCATCAACAATCTTAGGTATGATTATATTAAGTAAACATACTTATTAACCATTATATACTACATAGGCTAATTTTGTACCTATTTACTGTACGATCTATTGGAAATAAATGCAGTATCTATTCAGCAGTCTCGGCTTTCATTCCTTTCTCAGAGCACCACATGACAGGTATATGAATGAGGAATAAAAATATAATAACCGATTGACGACAGGAGAAGAATTTTATACATATATGAAATAATATTTTGTCAAGAGATCTAAGATTTTCGCGAGTATTCATTTAAAATTTAAATGAAACTAATATTTTTCGGATTTACTACGAGATTTTTTTTAAATTATAAACTACCACACCACAAATACTGACTCACACCAGACTATACAGAATTCTTTTCTTTTATTTTTTTGTTATTATTATCTGATACAATGTTAAATGTCACACACACCTCATAATTATGTTCTTCACAGGAATGACAACATTATAATTATAAAAAAATTACGAAAATTATAAATATAATACATATAAATGACTTCTTATTTCTGTTCAGCCCGACAATTTTAAAATGTTACATAATAATGAACCCATTATATTATAATTAAAACAGATTATGTTTTAGTTAGAGTGCGTGTGTTCTATAATACTATATGTGTTAGTATATTAGTGTATCGTGTATACTGACCGAGGTGGGCGGTTCATCTTCCTCCATAGATATGATGGCTCGCTGAGGATCCGCGCACGGCTGAAAACATAACGAAAAATGTTACTATGATACGAGGAGCGAGACAGAAAATGTGGGCGCGTATTGCTCTCTCCCTCGCACCTACAGTAATATACGAACGTCTTCTCAACCTTTTAATCTGATCCAAGTATTGCAGGGTAACTTTAATAGTATCTGCATTTATTAATATGTCATTTTCTTATACACGTACGTCGTACACGTAACAGGTTTAATTTGTTTATAATGATTAATTTTATATAGTTCATACATTTTTTTTTGAAACACATAATCATCCATTCATCCATTATGATGATGATGATCCATGAACCGTAACACTCTATCTGTCTTCACTAACATATATCTCCCTCTCACTTTCATTCGCCTCGCCCGATCACACTTTTCGTAACGCTTTCATCAGCTATCTCTCAAGCGTGCGTAAAGAAGTTTGACTTCAGAAATAAGATGCGCACATGAGTGATAGATTCGGTAATTAAGTGTTTTTTTTTATTATGGAGTATGTTTTGGAACGTATAATTTTCAATTGACTATTATGAAGCATCATATATCTTTATATAAATAAAAATTTCGTGTCACGTGTTTGTCCACGATGAACTACTAAACCGATTTTAAATTTGATTTGTATTGTGTGTGCATTTTGATCCAACTTGAAAGATATTATAGCTTACGTCTCAATTTATAGTCACAATATAATTTTATTGCAAATTATTTGTCTATTAAAGAAAATTATTTGTCATTATTACAATTATCTGTTGACTGAGTTAAGTAAGTATTCAATAGATGGCGCTTTGTTAAAAATACAAACGTCATGTATTTAATAATATCATAACCACCACGTGTTTCTGAGGCTAAGGTATAACCATAGAAATATCTGTTACGTTGTTTTTATAAATATATAAATTTATTTATAAAAACAACGTAACAGATATTTCTTGATTATAGGGCGATACGAAGTTCGCCGGGTCTTCTAGAATATATAGTATGTATGTATGTATGTGTGTATGTGTACCTGTGTGGGGTGATGGTAAGGCGGGGGCGGGGTCCCGGGGGGCGGAGTCACCAGCGGCGGGGAGCCCCCCGACCAACACTCACTGTCCCCCGGAGAGACGGCGCTGGCTGAGGAACATATACCACGAGGTAAAACACACTGAGTGATACTTCATATAGAGAATATCGATGGCTCCTATATCTAAGGGGCAATGTGGTAATGTAGCAATTTCGCCATTTTAATATTTGGCTATAAACACTCCATAATACTGTATTCTACAACATTCCTTAAAAAAATATTATTTGTTGGTGGACAGACTTAGTTTTGATTGACGTAAAAGGACACAAGTAACACACTTATATAGGGCTTATATGTATAATGTGTATTATAAATATATATTTAAAAAACAAGTAGGTTTACCAAACTTAAATGAGATACAAGCTTGTCATAGTTACTATGTAAAGTTTCAAAAACATCAGTTGTCGCATGTAAAAGATACATTGAAATCAAACTTGAACGCTACTACTGAACAATTATCATTTTGCAGATTGGCCTTTATACATAGGAGCCATCGATATATATAATGTAATGTATACACACTGCGGGGCTCGTGGTCAAGATGTTCCGGAGACGACTGGCTCCTTACGTGTAGCACCGGCGGACAACCGCGACTGTCAGTCTGGAAAATAAGAGGCACTAAATTATATACATATACATAACTACTACATGATACACAAAGTTAGTCACTGTTTAGAAGTTAAAAGATACACACGTGATGATAACTAACAGCTAGGAAGTTCTATATGTAATCTACAGTCTACAGTGTAGTGATAACAAAGCGTCAGCGTGCATAATATATGTATAGTCTATATGTATTTCTCACCAGTAGCGGCGGCGGTGGCGCGTTCACTAGCGGGTAGTACAATTGTAGGGCGATAGAGTTAGGCTCGGGGCCTTCAAGAGATCCGTCTAGCGACTGTGACGAGCGACGGAACCTGTCCGCGGAATATGATTGTCCGGGGTGCTTCTTATACTTGGCGGGCTTGTTGGCGGTGGTGGGGGGAGGTCGTCTCGGCGGGAGCGGCGGCGGCGGAGTGTTGTCGAGGCAGGTGGTGGGCACGGCGGGCGCGGGCTGGTTGTGTCGCTCGTCCGAGTTCTGCCTCACGAGCTGCTGGTCCTTCTTCTGCCGCAGGTTGCGCAGACTCTGTCCGGTCAGGTTGCTGAGTGAGCGCGGTAGGGCGGACAGGAAGCCGCTGTTGGCGCGCTCCGGGTCCTTCCGGGACAGCTTCGGAGTGGTGGGGAGCGGCGCCGCGTCCGGCTAGAATGGACGGTCGGGATGTGGGTGGAGATTCGCATGACTCTTTATACATATCAACGCGACTCCTTGTACATATTACCGGGTTTTAATAGAAACAATCTCGTCCAATCTACACCCACTTTAGAAGCGTACAGAGTCATCTAAGAAATAATACATAGATAGCGGAGGCGAAAATAAATTTGATAGCCTTTGAATGAGAGAAAAAAACAGACTTTACGTGAAATATCACAACATTTTACAATATGTGCTAAAAAAAACATGCAGAGAAGCGGACGACACGGGGACGACACGGGGACGACACGACTTCGACTCCATTAATAGATTAGTATACATTGTCATCATTATTATAATTGTGCATATAATTTATTTTCGCCTTTAATGATAAGAAAAATACAAAAAAATCTAATATGCATTTCAAAAACTACATGTATTATTTTTTGTACTTTTCTCAGCTAGCAACACTGACAAATAAAAGTGATGAAATAAATAATAATGCGTCAAACATGTCCATCTATGTGTGTGCTTTTGTCTGTGTGCGTGAGTATGTGTCTGTGTATGTGTGTGTGTATGCTAGTGCTCCCTCCTCGTATCTCCTGTCTCACCTGTGTGACTACGATGGTATCTATCTATATGTGTGCGTGTGTCTATGTGTGTGTGTGTGTGTGTGTGTGTGTGTGTGTGTCCCTCACCTGCGTCGCCATGATGGTGTCTATCTCGTGTTGTAGTATGGCGCACCTCTGCTCCGCTGACTCCAGCTGGGCCTGCTTCCTCACGTCCGGTACTTTGAGCAGGTCATCTGGAAACGTATTTAGTCATAATATCAGTATTATCGTGTATAATGAGATCTAAAACTTTATAGAGTATTCATTTAAATGATACTCATATTCAGATTACTACATACGAGTTACTTTATTATTTTAAATACCTAAATAAACTTAATAAAACAACTCGTTATGTAATTATATCTTAAGAACGACATTTAATATTACTTGAATTTTTTGTTTCCATGTAAGTGACTTTGTGTCTTTTTTGGAAAATAAGGATCTCTAAACCTAATTATTTTAAAAACTTCCGACGTTTCGGTAACCTGGCAGCAACCGTGATTATGGACATAAAACATGTGATTTTTGGGTATGTTTATAACAAACAGCTGAGTCGAGAAACATTTTTGTATATGTTTGTATGAGTCAGATGTTTGGTACATTTTTTCGAATAATGTCGATTTAAAACTTATTTAGCCTATGCACTGTAACTGACGTCTGCTTGATATTTTTTAAGTTATACTATTTTTTATAATAAGCTTATACCTACTTATATGCATACATGCCTTCAAGGGTTGACACAGTTTTTCATACACCCTGTATAGTCTGTAATTATTAGTTTTTTACAATAGCAACACTGAATCTGTTATGTCAGTGTTCTCTTGTCTATATTGTGTATGGCGTGGGATGTGTTTCATGTTATATGTATTGTATGTAACTCACTTCTCAGGTCTCGTATGTACTTCTGTTCTTGCTCCAACATCAGCCTCACCGTCTGCGCCTTAGACACTTCCAACTGCCGTTGCTTCTCCGACTACACCACACACACACAATATCATATTCAATAGACGACGATTATATTAAACAATATCAAGGGAATAACTTCTATATTGGGGAATATAATATCTTAATGTATGTAATATTGCCTTATATTTTTTTTTATGTATTTTTCCATATTTAAGGAAAATATTTTACAGCAAAATTTAAATATAGTACATAAGATTGTTATTATTTTATTTATCTCATTTGTGAATGAGGCAGTGGGCTCAAATATATTTTAATAAAACTGAATAAAAAAACCATAAAATGTATAAATACATATAATGGATTTTTTTTATAATTCACTTTAAAAATTTGGATAGGAATATCCAAACTATTAGAACGAATCATAATAATCGTGTGATATTTATTTAAGATAAAAATAAATATTAAACAGCTGATATCAGACAGAGCTAAACAAATATGGATGCAACTAGCGGCCTAACAGTTATTGTATGTTGACACAAGTGTGTGGAAGGGTCACAGAAGATGGAATCTTATATACAAACATACATACATATTATATATATATATATATATATATATATATCGCTCACTACTTGAACATATCAGATATACAGGGTGACTAGTGAATTACTATCAATATTTAAGGAGAATACTCGGTACATGATTCTCATTCGAATTATGTAAAAAAAAATAGGCACTTAATTTTTGACAAAATTTCCGTATAAATAAATAAAGTGTTGACACGTTCCAAGTGTTCCAAGTGTGGACGCGTGCGGCGGCGTGCTGATACAACACCACGCCGCCGCACGCGTATGTGTGAGTGTGTGTGTATACCTAATCTGTAGGGTGTTCAAACGATGCGTAATTAATTACATAACTTTTGGTTAACTTTACTTAGAAGTTTATTAATATTTATGTTATATTAATTTTTGTTTTGTCATATATGATCGTTAAATATCACGTCCTCAAGTATCGATAGTAATTCACCAGTCACCCTGTATATTTTGGTATTATCACTTATATCTTACTAAATAAGATTTTTATGCAATTTACAATACTGATTGATCCCTACTAATATTATAAATGCGAAAGTAACTCTGTCTGTCTGTCTGTTACTCTTTCTCGCCTAAACCACTGAACTGATTTTAATGAAATTTGGTAACATAGAGTTGACCTTGAGAAAGAACATAGGATAGTTTTTATCCCAGACTTTTGAAAGGGTCTCTTGGAAACGCGATATAAGCGAACTCCAAGCTAGTGGTCAATATATACAGATGTTATACATATGTAATATGATCTTATTAATGTATTTATAATATATATCTCACGTTAACCGGTACAGGCGCTGTGATGGGTGTCTTCAGACGGGACGTGTTCTGTTGTACAGTCAACACTGTGCTGGGGTTGGCTGGAAATGATTAACACGACTTATAGGATCATACAACATTATATTATATAAGATGACCTGACAAATATTGTTTTGCCATATAGAAAAATAGAGCTTGGTGATAAAAAAAGTAAAAATTTTGGGTTGTATATATTTTGATTCCACATTATAAAAAAATATAGTAAAAAATTAAGGTTGAACAACCATTATCACTTAGAGGTATGAAAAATAGATAGTAACCGATCCTTAGACCTACTGAATACGCATATAGGGTTTGAAAAAAATCGGTAAAGGCGTTTCGGAGGAATACGGTAACTAACATGGAAATATTATATATTAGATATATAACTCGTATGTATGTATATATATAATATTCACCTCTGATCATATGCACGACCTGTTGGTGAGCGTACTTGTGTACGGGCACACAGTCCACTCTGAGGATGCGGTCCCCCGCACGGAGACCAGCCCGCCACGCCGCGCCGTGCTCCTTCACCGACTGGACGTACACTGGGTTGTCACCTACAACACGGGAGATGCCTTAATGATGACTTGAGATATACATAGGACTCAATGGATTGATTAAAGATGAGGAGAAAGTTGTAGAAGTAACTTGAGCAGTTTGTATTAAAGCCTCGGTTTAGTTTTTGCCCGAGATTTCGTCTGCGTTAGTTTCAGAATTATTAATGGTGAACTCTATTCCTTCTTAAATACGGTAGATATGAAGATTTTGGATTTTATCAAACTTATAATTTTTTTCTTTTGCAATTGGATAAAAAGTATCCTGTGTTCTAAGCTATCTCCACTAATTTCGAGCCAAAACCGTACAGCCGTTATTGAGTTATAAATAGTGTACCTAACACAAGTTTTTTATATATCTAAAAAAATATATCAAATCCCCGATCTATGTAAATTTTTGATTCCTTGCTAACCCGCCCAATGTGCGACAGTAATTATGCACGCCCCGTTCCACTTAGATATTTCATAAATATGCAAAATAACAAGTAATAGGAACTCGGGGTAATTCGACTTCTTATAGGAAAAGTATTGCGATACTAGCCATAATTTACTAAGTTTATAAACAAGTAAAGAAAATTTCATATAAATGATGTTTTTCAATTTGATTAATTTATCCCTACTAATATTATAAATGCGAAAGTAACTCTGTCTGTCTGTCTGTCTGTCTGTCTGCTACGCTTTCACGCCTAAACCACTGAACTGATTTTAATGAAATTCGGTACAGAGATAGAGTTGACCTTGAGAAAGAACATAGGATAGTTTTTATCCCAGACTTTTGAAAGGTTCTGTTGGAAACGCGATATAACCGAACTCGACGCGGGCGAAGCTGCGGGCGGAAAGCTAGTAGTCAATAATAAAGATATATTTTTTATGAAGTTGCTCACATTAATAAACATTCCGTATCACTAATGGATAGTTTGAAAACTTTTTCCATATGAAGCTCCACGGTCAACGAGTACACGATGTTCGTTTTCAACGACAAAAACACAGAGTTATATGGAACAGTGAAGAAACACTTTCACATTTTATGAGATACATCAAACAATATCAGAATGTAATTGCTTTGAAACTTCTTTATACGGAAAGATAAAGGTTACGATTTGCATGTTGAATGTAGCGTTAAATTGTATGTGTGGCCTAGCGTGCGTGTGTGAGGAGAGATGAGACGGCGTGGAAACAGTGAAAAGATAACAGTAAATTAAAAATTGTCGACACGATTTAATGTTAGAAACATGTCAGTCACTAAGGAAATGGCCAAAAGATTACTCCACATGACATTTTAGTGAAACATTGGAGAATAGGTGTCTACATCACTATAACGTATAGAAATAGCACAGAACTGAAGATATGAGAACCGAGGAATGACGAACACCTAGCATGTATGTAGCTGGAGATATGGGCTCATAAAGGGCTGAATACAAAGAATTTTGGTCAGAGAATGCTACTGAAACATCGGCTACCAGAAATGTTTCGAAGAGGAAAACATAATTTCAAACTCGAGTCTCTTAGAGTTTTAAGTAAGTGGATGAGGAATACTCTTTGAGCGTTTTATGATCACAGATGAGGGCTCGGTCTAACATTTGGTCAGTAGGGCAGCCAAGTATTTGGAATTTTCAGAGGCAACTCACAAACTTAAGGACTTTGTTCGTAAGAAACTTTAATGACATTAGCTGCCAATAATTAAAAAAGAATATTCAGCATCCAATGAGGTTTCATCCATGTGAGGAGAGGTCTTTCCTCAGATAGGTCGATGATGATGATGGTTCTTCTAAGTGAGCCAGTACTTGTGCCGCTCCATTCTCTACTATGAGTACTTCATTACCTGACACCTTCATTCCATATCCGTGCTCGTCTCTGACGACGGTCACGGTGAGCAGGTCGTCGCCCCCCGCAGGCCCCGCCCCTCCCAGCATCACCTGCAACACACACATCTACATGAGCACCAGAACTACCAGCTCTTGAACGATATATTGAATATACATAGGTCCCATAGCTTGGAATATGCTTGGATAGCTGAGCAGTAACTTCCGAAGGAAAGGTTACAGTATCTAGAACTAATCTATAACATATATATACAGGGTGACTGGTGTATATTAGTTCTAGATCATCTCAGTTCTAGATTATTGGAAAGATAAAGGAAAAAATAAGTTCTTGCTTAATACTGAGCCATGGATATGTTCGCGATGTAAATACAAACTTTGTAATACCGACGGGTCTGTATGTTCATGCTAACCTCAATAACTACTGGTCCATTTGAATAAAATCTGCCAGTTTAAGGTGACGTGTTCATAGAGGAAGGCTATGGGCCGTATACCGTCACGCTACGGTAAATAAGAATACAGTAAAATTAAGAGATAATATGTTTTTGGGTTAACGTTTTGACGAACATCATGTATAGTTAATTAAATTATAGTTCCATAAATATCACATTAATAAATCCTAGCACATTTATCTAACCGTCTAAGTCCTTTACGCAGCTCTATATGTACCTATTTAAAACCATTTCTTTTCATGAGTATTTATACATATACAAACAAAGTGGGTCGAAAACTGTTAAAAAATATTTTATAAACGACCACATTATACTGAAAATATTCGTGAATTGTTTGTAATGTAGTAGAGAAAAAAAATGTTCAAAAAAATATATGATACGTATGACCAGTCTGTGTGTGGAACGTAGTTCATATGTTAGTGTGATATTAAATGTATTATATTTTATAAAGAATCAATAATTTAACAGCTATAATATACGCTCCATAGCACATATAACTCATGTATTTTATTATTGTTTTTCTTATTTGCAAGTATCGTCAGTACTTTTTTGTTTTATTATTTACTACTATAGTTAACTATATGTCAGAAAAGTCGAGCTCGTATAAATTAAATGTATACCTTATCAAGTATGATTCAATGAACCTTATCTTTTCTTGAAATTGCAGTTTACACAGTTGGACTGTGAAGGAAAATATTATCACTGAACAGAAATAATTAAAAATTAACAGAATATAACTGGATCGAGGTATTCCGAAGGTTGCACATTGAAATCATTCGTAAATTCTTCATTCTTTACTTTATATGTAAATTTACTCATATGTAAAAATTCAATGATAATACGGAATGTTAAATCTTCAACACGAATATGGATCGAACCTGTAACCAACCGCTTTATCAACTAAACTATTATGCCATAAATTTCTTCTATAATTAAAATATAATGAAAATGTCTTTCAGATACACTAAACGCTTTTATCATAATATTTTATTCGAAGTTTTGGTGATTTTAAAGCAACCATCATCACAGGCAGACAAGATGAAAATGTGTGTCAGTTGGTCTTGTTATATGTCACCTACGGTCAATGATTTCTTAATTTCTATCACTGCTGACTTCAGGCTTGTCATGTCAAAGGATTATATATTTTTAAGAAAAGCATCTCATATGTGAGATAATTGCCATTATGAGATCTAAGATTTTCACGAGTACTCATTTAAATGAAACTAATATTTTCGGATTTACGCTATTTTTAAGATTGTTTTTTCACATCTCGTCTGCCCGTGATCACGGTTGCTATAAAATAACCGAAACGTCGGGAGTATGTAGTTTATAGTCAAATATAAAAAAAACACGTCGTAAATACGAAAAATATTAGTTTCATTTAAATAATAGCCTTTGTTTTTTATTAAATTGCCTCCATTCTAGAGCAGTAGGTACGCCAGGAAAAATTAAATATAATATATGGGACATAAAAATTACAAAAATATATTACGGAAGAAAAATCATACATGATATTACAGAATGTTGATTTCAAACAAACATAAACTTGCATTTTTTATTTAAACATTAAAGTTGAAGGAACGGTGTATATGGCTGTAACATTTTTATTGAGGAATATACATTTACTTACATAGATGACAAACAAATCTGTATTCTATACCTTCAAAATAAGGTTGAAATTACATAATAACATACCGCGTACTAGTGTAAATGGATCTGTTAAAATGTTACCATTACGGCTGTTGTAAAAAAAATGCATCGTAAAAAATAGTTATGTCTCGAAATACATACATACATTAAACGTTCTAATATTATGACACGATCGTGTTTTTCACCTCGGAATAAAACATAGAAACTACTTACAATTCATATTATTTTCTATTAAGTAGTATAACATCTCCAGACAATTAATATTTATAAATTTTACATTCCTGAACAATTAAGCATTAATCTATGTCAAGTACTCCCACTTTTGAGATGTGAGGAAAAAATATTACGAAGGAATCATGACGAAATCGTATTTAATAAATATTTTAATAATTATATACAAATGGAATTATATGCAGTTGTTTCATGTATTAAATAATATTATATTAAAGCGACTAGATAAAAAAGTTAGATATATAGGTATAAAGATTATAACAAAACAGTTTCTGTGAAAAATTTTCTTTTTCTTCTTAATGGTCAAATTCTTTTAAAACATTTGCCATATAATCAAAATAACATACATTTATTTTATCCAGTCTAAACACAACACAAATTTGTAAATAATAATAGGTCCATGTATTTATATGGTGTACTAGGTATATAAAGTATTTCCTTATGCTACCTCTGAGTGAAATCAAAAGGACTGAACTAGCCAAAGGAAGATTACGATTAATTAAATTTTTCTATAGAATTCTACATCTTCTAGGTCCCTAGGAAATGCCTTCTAAATAACATAGTAATATATTTTAAACACTTTTACGTCACAAATAGGTACATTTCATAACGAGGTCCCGTACATTAATTTTCATAAAAGCCACCTCCGTCTTATAAATGTTATAACTCATGACTGTATCATTAATACGCGTCATCATTTATTCCTTACCATCAATTCAAACTGTGCTTTATGACAGATTGAGAAAATTGTATTCTTGGCATATTGCGCACTATCCGAACTATACAATATACATAGAGAACAACGAATGGCTTTTACTCAATACCGAATAACAATTACATTACCTGGTCATCATAATATACCTATACATATATATCCCTACTAATATTATAAATGCGAAAGTAACTCTGTCTGTCTGTCTGTTACGCTTTCACACCTAAACCACTGAACTGATTTTATTGACATTTGGTACAGAGATAGAGTTGACCTTGAGAAAGAACATAGGATAGTTTTTATCCCAGATTTTTGAAAGGTTCTGTTGGAAACGCGATATAACCGAACTCGACGCGGGCGAAGCTGCTTAACATGTATGCTTGCGAACATATATGCTTGCCGACGTCATATTATCACAGTTAACCTTACAAGTAATCAACATATGTTGTTCAATCAACATCTACTAATAACAAACAAGATCGTAAATAAAACGTCAAACCGTCAGTCCGTCCGTTTCCGCTACGTCGAATGGTTGACACTCATTCTAAAGAGTCTCAATCCATGAAATTAATTTTGTAAAATGTTTGAACTCGTCAAAACATTATATTGACGTGTTATGAGACGCGAGGAAACAGAATCTGTCTTTACACCTACAACGAACATACTAATATTACAACTAGATTTTATCTACGGTTTCGCTCGCATTATTGTTGATTTAAAAGTATTTTTGTTACATATTCATATTATTACTAACTGCTTTTTAGTTTTCTACTTTCTTAATATCAAGTAATATTTAATGTTTGTCAGGGGGCTTTATTTTCCAGGATAAAATATCGTCAAAATAATTCCCATTAACAGCTGTTCAGCCTTTTCAAAGACTATACAAACAGAACGACAGACACGGAATCATTAAGAGTTATGAACCTAAAAAAATATATATATTTTATATACTATCAACAGACGTATTGGTTTTATCTACATATTTATATTTACATAATATGTTTGTATATAACTCATCATAGTATATATCCAATGTCAACACATTTTCATTTTAAAATAGTACTTTATTTTCTTCCATACTTATTATGTATATTATTAGTTCATACTAAATACATAATATAACTACATAGTATGTATATGACATAGCAAAGACCCTTTACATTACTAGTTTAATATCGTAAAGAGTGACAAGTATTTTATTAATATTATTATAAATTCATTTTAATTCCTAGAATGTACAAAGTGGACGGTACTGACATCTACTTATGTACAAGTCTTAAGAGCTAGTACCAATTATGTAAACTATGTCTATACATATTCTGTTGTGTGACGTCACCCACTCTCCTAATAATATTCTACGTCAGAGGGATCTCTCTCCCAGGTCCCAGGCCCACCTGTCATCATCAGCTGTCCACCTCCAACGCCGTCTATTTTAGAGCAACTATTTTGACGCACGCGCAGGTATTTCAATTGATTACACACCTATCGTCAGTTATTATAGGCATACAATATTATGACTAAATGTCGTTTACAAAAATGAATTAGGTCATTTATATTATTATACACTTATACATATATGTATTATATATAATGTCTACAGAACGAAAAAGGGGCAAAAATAGTATTATAAGCATTATTACAGACAAGTAATAATGCCCGGGCAAGTGCCAATGTGATTTTTCCGAATCATATGTACTTTATAAGAATATTTAGACATCACTGATTAATGTTGATTCCCAAAAGAGGGTTGATGTCAGGCAGGCGGCCGGTCGTAAAAACAAATAGCCAAAAAACTATTCAAACATGTAAGGCAGACCCTGGCTATAGCTGGGAAATTGCCAGGTAGAAGAAGAAGAAGAAGCATTATTACAGACGTACGATATTCACCAATAATATATATATATACCAAATATTTTTTCTATTTCTATACGACATTCTCCAGCGAACACAAATGACAAATAACGTGACAAACTGACAGACATTTACATATATCTGCGTTGAAAAAAAATCGTAAAATAAAAAACAAACTAGATGAAAACTAACTCTAG